CTATGTGCAGTATCGGTTACACACACATGCTTGGACTTTTAATATGTAATCATTTAATGGTTGTTTTTATCTGTTTCACATCATTTATTCTAACTTTGGTTTTTCTAATTCTTGTTGCGTACATATGATTTTCCATCAAGGTAGTTACTATAATAAATATTAGTCTGAGACATGAAATGCAACTTTTGCTTAAAAGAAACTTGTAACAGAGCCTATGATGATCCTGGTATCTTGACATCTCCTTCATAAAGAAGCAGTATACCCAGTTATAACTGACTATGGGATGTGCAGGTTGACCTCTGACCTCTGTTCAGCAGGTTCAGGTCAGTTTATACTAGAAAATATCAGGTTCAGGTGGGTCAGGGACAAACTAACAACGCAGCATTATTTACGACATTGATTACTAGTCTGCCTTCTCTTTCCCTCTCACACACCTGAAGATATCTGTCGGATGAGCTGAGCACAGGAGCGACTTGCAGGCTACAGCTACAGTACTCTCTGTGAGATCCAGCAGTTGACTTGGTTATGGTATTTATCAGACATCAGCAGTAGCTTCTCTTAAATCTGTTTTTCCCAATGTACTCGAGTACTATGTGATTTACAAGTGATTTGTTTTTTTGGGGAAGAAAGAAAAAAAAATAGAAAAAATCCCCCTCACTGCTCTCTGGGGTCGTTTTCACAGATGAAAAAAAAAACTTGATTCCTGACATGATCCTTGCCTTTCAGGGCTTTCCTAGTTTCTGTTTCCATGCATTAGAAGCTTTCATATATAAATATTCTTAAATAATCGATGTGTTTGTTGTTAATACTTTAAATGTCTTTTTTTATACTGTGATGCTGCCTTGTGCAGTCTGATTTGACAGTGTTGTATCTGACTACAGTCATGTCAATTAAAGCTTCTTTGAATTTGAATTCGGACCACTGTTCCATGAGTTTAGTTGCTGGACCTATTTGAAAGATAACAACTCATTCTTCTTCCAATTTTTTCATGATAAAATATAGAAATCGATCAAACGATGCACATCTTTACACCCTCAGTTGAATAGAGAAACGAGGTGAGGCGTTTACTGACCTGCCTCACTCAGCAGTATTAGTTGTTGAGGTAGAGAGTGTTTACGTCGGGCCCGTGGAGGCTTCTCGCCGCCCTACACCGCTCACTCCGTTCTCGCACAAACAGCTCGTCATCCTCACCACTGACTCCAGACGGCTGCTCCCCCTGATCCAGCAAGCAAGCCAGGTTTATTTTGTAAAGCCTTTTCCCAGATGCTAGTCACAAAGTGCTTCACAAATCAAATTTAATAAAAAACAAATGAAAGAATACAATTACATTAAATAAAAATCAAAACAGAACGCCAGATAAATAAACAAGGGGAAAACCATGTAGGACACTGTTAAAAGCATAAAATACCACGTGTTACTAAAAGCCTGTTTAGTTGCTTTTTAAAAGAGTTCCACAGAGTCAGGGATCTCAGATTTGGTGGGAGACTACACCAGAGCTTGGGAGCTGTTTGACTGGAAGTACAGTCACCCCAGGTTTTAAAGCGTGAGCGTTGGTATGCTTGCTTAAAGTGATCACTAAATTTAAAAATGGATTTGAAACATGAATGGGAAGCCGGTGCAGGGAGGTTAGGTTCTGTGCGATTTGTTAAAAGCCTGGCAGCAGCATTCTGGACAGTTTGCAGGCGCTGTAGGGAAGATTTTGGACCGATAGGTAAAAAGGGAATTACAATAATCTAAACGCGACGAGATAAAGCATGTATTAACATCTTTCATTTTATTTTATGACAGCACAGGTCTGAGTTTGCCAATATTTCTTAAGTGGGAAAAACATGACCTAGTTAGTGTTGTAATGTGTGCATTCAAACTATGGACTTGGTCAAAAATAATGCCAAATTGGGTTGAGAGGAGGAGGACAGGTCACGAGCTTCTGCTTGATTGCTAATTGGAGGTTGAGCAGGTTGAACAGCCTGTGCAATTCCAGTAGCTGGACAAGTTGCTTTTCAACCACCAATGCAGTTTGGAATAGGCCGGTTCATTTTCTGCGAGAGGATCCAGGTTGATTTTCTTTAAACAAGATTGAACAATGCATGGTTAATAACTGTGGAATATCATGATTAAAAAAAAAAAAAGAGAGAGACATGTGTGTTTTATGGTGTACAACAGAACTTTTCGGATTTTCTCTTATTGGAGATATATGATTTGAAAAGTAAGCAGCTCTCTCAGACTTCACTAGGTACTGAAAGTGCAAGAGTCCTCTAGATGTAGCCTGTGAATTCACAAGCGCTCAGTCCTTCTGCATTTTTTTCTAAAACATTAATCCATGGTTGTGGATTTTTTTTGGACACATAGGTCTTTAAGAACAACATTTCAATATCAATGCCATGAGTAAAAAAAGGTCCAGTGTGCGTCCCGCCTGTGTGCGTGTAGAGCCTGATCCGTGTCGCTTAAAATTGTGGGAGTCAGTGAGATTAAGAAAGGCGGAGGCAGCATTACATGTGGGGTCATCAATGTGAATATTACAATCTCCAAGCATTAGGACCTTGTCCAACATTATTATAGCTGAGGACAGAGATGAGCAGGACAGTTTTGATGAGCGAGGAGGAAGAACAGTGTGGGAGCTCTGCCTATTACTGACTGGGGCACCACTACAGAGGTAGAGCCCCATGTCACCGCTGATTCACTGAGAGTCCTGAATCTCCTTCATCTAATGTAATATATAATGTGTAAGGTTTGCCATCAGGAATAGATGTCTGTTTCCACCTGTCTCTGAGAAGCACCGACCTTGGACCGGCTGCAGAGCTTCGTGGGCGGAGGGTTGCCAGAGGATCCTTTGGGTGCCTCCGTCTGACTCTGTTCTTACTAGTTTGTCCAGGTTCGTCAACTGCAGGGTGAAAAAAAGAAAAGAAACACTTTCAGTTCATCTCTTCAAAACAGCTTTGGACTCATTTTTATTTTTTTATTTGTCGTCTCTTCCGCAACACGCTGGAACTACAACTCAAACAGCTGATCTGTGGTGTAATACAGTGTGCACTGTAGGTGTGCTTACATGTAGGATACTACACTAATACAGTTCAACACGTTGAGAAAATGTAGAGCCAAAGTAAAGGTTTTTGACGCAAAGTGGTGAAGATATTCAAGACAAAACAAACACTTCAACTGATATAGTTTTTTTTTTCCTGTGGGCGTTTTTCAATGGCTGAAACAGGTTTCTCAGCTAAACCACGTCCACAGCAGCTCAGCAGTCAGCTGCTGTATGGTGCTCCTGCTGCTGCTCCGACCCAGACCAGCCCACAGCAAATAATCCAACTATATTTTTAACTAGAGATGTTCTGATACCTGAACTTGTGTATCGGCCAATACTGAGGACTGATCCGATACCACTGCATTAAAAAAAAACCTTTTAATGCTGACCTTGTATGAATGTTGATAGTTGGTTATTTTTGCTGTTGGGCTGGTCTGGGTCGGAGCAGCAGCAGGAGCACCAAGTACAGCAGCTGACTGCTGAGCTGCTGTGGAAGTGGTTTAGTGAGAAACCTGGTTTCAGCCATTGAAAAACGCCCACAGGAAAAAAAAAAAACGGGTATATCAGTTGAAGTTGTTTGTTTTGTCTTGAATATTCTTCACCAATTTTGCGTCAAACAACCCCTTTACTTTGGCTTCTACATTTCTCACGTGTTGAACTGTATTAGTGTAGTATTCCTACATGTAAGCACACCTACAGTGCACCACTGTATTACACCAAGATCAGCTGTTTGAGTTGTAGTTCCAGCGGTGTTTGCGGAAGAGACGGACAAAGTAAAAAATTAAAATGATGGTCCAAGCTGTTTTGAAGAGATGAACTGAAAGTGTTTCTTTTCTTTGTTTTCACCCTTGGCAGTTGACGGAACCTGGACAATCTAGAAGAACGAGTCAGACGGAGGCACCCAAGGATCCCTCTTGGCAAACCCTCCGCCCCACGAAGCTTCTGCAGCCGGGACCAAGGTCGGTTGGTCTCAAGACAGGTGGAAAACAGACATCTATTCCTGACTGCAACCTTTACACTTAATTAATACATTAGATGAAGGGATTCAAGGGACTCTCAGTGAATCAGCGAGTGACATGGGCTCTACCTCTGTAGTGGTGCCCCAGTCCGTATAGGCAGAGCTCCCACACTGTTCTTCCTCCTCGCTACCATCAAACTGTCCTGCTCATCTTCTGTCCTTCAGTTATAATAATGTTGAACAAGGTCCTAATGCTTGGAGATTTGTATATTCACATTGATGACCCCACATGAATGCCTGCCTCCGCCTTTCTTAATCTCACTGACTCCCACAATTTTAAGCGACACGGAATTCAGGCCTCTACACGCACACAGCGGGAGCGCACACTGGACCTTGTTTTACTCATGGCATGATATTGAATGTTGTTCTTAAAGACCTATGTGTCAAAAAAATCACAACCATGGGATTTATTGGAGGATATATGATTTGAAAAGTAAGCAGCTCTCTCAGACTTCACTAGTGCTCAGTCCTTCTGCATTTTTGTCTAAAACATTAATCTATGGTTGTGGATTTTTTTGGACACATAGGTCTTTAAGAACAACATTTCAATATCAATGCCATGAGTAAAAACAAGGTCCAGTGTGCGTCCGCCTGTGTGCGTGTAGAGCCTGATCCGTGTCGCTTAAAATTGTGGGAGTCAGTGAGATTAAGAAAGGCGGAGGCAGCATTACATGTGGGGTCATCAATGTGAATATTACAATCTCCAAGCATTAGGACCTTGTCCAACATTATTATAGCTGAGGACAGAGATGAGCAGGACAGTTTGATGCGCGAGGAGGAAGAACAGTGTGGGAGCTCTGCCTGTACTGACTGGGGCACCACTACAGAGGTAGAGCCCCATGTCACCGCTGATTCACTGAGAGTCCTGAATCTCCTTCATCTAATGTAATAATATAATGTGTAAAGGTTGCCAGTCAGGAATAGATGTGCTGTTTCCACCTGTCTCTGAGAAGCACCGACCTTGGGACCGGCTGCAGAGCTTCGTGGGCGGAGGGTTGCCAGAGGATCCTTTGGGTGCCTCCGTCTGACTCTGTTCTTCTAGTTTGTCCAGGTTCGTCAACTGCAGGGTGAAAAAAAGAAAAGAAACACTTTCAGTTCATCTCTTCCAAAACAGCTTTGGACTCATTTTTATTTTTTTATTTGTCGTCTCTTCCGCAACACGCTGGAACTACAACTCAAACAGCTGATCTGTGGTGTAATACAGTGTGCACTGTAGGTGTGCTTACATGTAGGAATACTACACTAATACAGTTCAACACGTGAGAAAATGTAGAGCCAAAGTAAAGGGTTGTTTGACGCAAAGTGGTGAAGATATTCAAGACAAAACAAACACTTCAACTGATATAGTTTTTTTTTTCCTGTGGGCGTTTTTCAATGGCTGAAACAGGTTTCTCAGCTAAACCACGTCCACAGCAGCTCAGCAGTCAGCTGCTGTACTGGTGCTCCTGCTGCTGCTCCGACCCAGACCAGCCCACAGCAAATAATCCAACTATCATTTTAACTAGAGATGTTCTGATACCTGAACTTGTGTATCGGCCAATGCTGAGGACTGATCCGATACCACTGCATTAAAAAAAAAACCTTTAACTGCTGACCCTGTATGAATGTGATATGATTGCTTAAACCCTTTGTAAAACATGAACAGATACATGAAGGCCACAGAGTCTTTCTTTTGTTATCTAATCCGACTGTCAATCATAAAACAAGACTAGGTAAAATCTAGAATATGTCTGGGCCGCCGTTGGTCAAATCCTGATTTTATAACTGAGATGTCATCTGACAAAATCACCAAACACATACATTGAAAACTGAGCTGTGATTTCAGCTGTATTTACTGTAAAATGATCACTCAGAGAGAAAGACAGAATATCTTTTTCTTTTTTTAAGTGACTTTTTCAGGCTTTTGCCTTCATTACAGACATAGAGAGAGAGAGAGAGAGAGAGAGAGAGAGAGAGAGAGAGAGAGGATGACATGCAGCAATGGGCCACAGGCTGGACTCAAACCTGGGCCACCACAGGAAGAACTAAGCCCAAAAGACACACGTTCCTCTGCCTCCTTTAGTAATAATGGTACATGTAGCCAGGAAACGGCTCGGTAGACTGCACGTAACAAGAGGTGTAGCCCTGAGCCCCTGGTCGGCATCCATACACGGTCCAGTCATGAACCATGTTTATACCCAGTGTGGTTGAAAAAAAGACACAATGAGCTAAGTTGGCAACAGCAGCTGTAAACATCCCACTAATAGAGCCCGTTTGATCCAGACTCAGTGACGAGGCACTCTGCTGACCACTGGTGGAAATATGATCAGTCAGTCAGTCAGTGACATTTCAGATTATATTGCAGCGCTGTTGCGGTCCAGCCAAAAATGAATTAATAGAATAACACTTCCTACACGTGAGCCACCCCTCCAAGTTAAAGCCTTCCATGCTGTACATGTTGCCTTGTTGCTGGTGGGACTCTCCAGGGTTACACGTTGCCAAATTGGGGTCATTTTGCTAACAGCTAATATCACACCATTTACCAGAAATCAGTTCTTCTTTACTGCTCTTAAACAGCTGCCAGTGGCTGCACAGCACAGCTTCCTGTGTAGGCCACTGTTTTAGAGCAGAGAAGAAGAATTGATTTCTGGCATACCTGCAGTTTTGTCCGATTACATGGACGCACGCACGCACACACGCACGCACGCACGCACAAACAAGCAGATACATGAACATGCTACTACATCTTAGCTGTGTGTACCAGCAAGGGGTTGTGCAGACTGGTGCTGCTGTTGGACGTCTGGGCCGAGCGAGGGAGGGTGGCATGAGAGAGGGGACGAGGGGAAGGGGACGAGGAGCCGCAGGTGCTGACCAGGTCCGGCAGACTGTTGGATGGGAAGCGCTCGAAACCCACATCTGACTCCTCCTGTAGGGACAGACAGGAAGTTAACCTAGTGTGTGTGTGTGTGTGTGTGTGTGTGTGTGTGTGTGTGTGTGTGTCTGTGTGTGCACTCACCCTGCTGGCCACCACCAGCTGGACCAGGCCGCTGGTGGAGCGGAGGATGGCGACAGCGTCCTGGTGGGTGAGGCCCACCAGAGACTGACCATTGATCATCAGCAGCTCGTCACCAGCATGAAGACGACCATCCCTGAAACACACACATTCAGACAGAGACACTTACACACACTGTACCAGACACACTCTCAGAAACTAAATCTGAACTGTCCTCCACCACTGGCAATATCTAGTTAGACAAAACACCAGATTTTCTTTCTTTAATTCTCACACAATAAAGTGATAAATAATAAAGAGCAACGGACATCTATATAAACTGGTGGAATCGTTTTGCTGTTTGAGTCTTTCCATGTGTCCCCTCTGGTTTTAAAACAGAGTTTAACTAATAAAGGCACAGAGAGTTTATCACGCTAAATGAATACATAATAACTATTTCAGCTTCATTTGAACTGAACAGAGATTCTTTAATCCGGATTCCTGACAGTGATGAAGCTTTTACTCTCTTCTTCATCACTGCAGCTCAGAATAACATGAGGGGACTCTGAGTCCACAACTGGAAATAAAAACTAAACCTCTGATGTCTTTGATTAGAACAATGAACCACACACTGTTGAATATTTACTTAAAAATAATTTCAGTCAGACTGACTCATCAGACATCAACTACTTCTCTTTTCTTTCATTACATTACAACACTAACTGTTTTTTTTTCTGCAGCACATGTTCATAACAGTTTGTTCATCAAACAAAAGAGAAAAATACTAAGAAACTTAATGAAAATGAATGCACTTATTTGCAATATATCGTTAGTCTGACCTTAATAATTAGAAATTATTTCTAGCGTTTTTTTTTATATTGTTTACATTTCACCTTGTTGAGTGTCATTTATGGATGTCACTATGAGTGAATTTACCGGCAGGTACCGGCATTTCTTCTCATATCATAGTAAGAACTTAAAGTAGATACAGTAGATACAGTTGATAGAGTCAGTGTAGTGTGACAGCTGCTTCTGTCAGTTACAAACATGTAGCTGTAGTGAACACAGCAGGTGGATGTGTATATCAGGACTTTATAATGACCAACTGTACCTGTGAATGGCGCCCCCCTCCTCTATATGAGCTATGATGATGCCATGAGGTGAGCGCTTGGAGCCCCGCCCCCCTGTTATCTGGATGCCCAGGCCCTCCTCACCCTTCACCATGTGCATCTTCCAGATGTGGCTGCCCTCTCTGAACTGCAACACACACACACACACACACACACACACACACACACACACACACACACACACACACACACACACACACATACATGAAACAACACATCACACAGAATGGCATGAAGCTGTGAAAAACAAATCAAAAAACAGACTGTTGGGAAACTAAGAATAGTTTACGAGTCTGATCCTTGGATGCTTTTTTTATGTCACTGTGTTATTCAAGAGGCTTTGATCAGTGTTTCTCAGGCAATTTTGTTTCAACATTAGTTCATGCACAAACAAACTGACACATGGCTGAGACTCCCTCTCTGAAATTATGGCTGAGGCTTGGCTCTTTAATGTAGCTTCTTTTATTTTATTTCACATTGAATGTGCTGAAGCTCAGAGGTTGTTCACTATTTCTCCTAATCCAGCCCTTTTGGACTTTGCACTGCTGCACATGCATGAACCAAAACAGCAGGTGTGGATGGAGATGCTCTAAGAGTCAATGCACCAGGACCAGCCATGTTGAGCTGGCAGTTTAAAATATAGCCCTCTGTCCTGTTTGACCTCTGACCCCACTGCTCACAGCTTCAGCCATTTTGAGGACTAGTAGACGTAGCAGGATAATAGAGGTCGTCTCCACGCCAGCCACAGACATTTACCATCCTGCTGATGTGCTGGGATGATACACCAGCTGTCTTTCTCAATCCTCTAACCCACATGTTAAACACCAGTTGTTGCAGGGCAGCGATCCTGTTGATCCTCTCAAACATCTGTACGCTGATCTGTCGTCTATTCCAACAGGTTGTTTAAGTCATTTACATCCTCATCATCCACTAAGCTGTACTGTACTGCACGTCCTGCAGCCTCCACACGGCACGACCAAAACTAATATACAGCAGTCATGTCCACTAATGTGTTCACGCAGCTGTCAGGAGAGTGTTAACATGCCGGTAAGTCATCCCGGTGGGCAACTGCAGAACTGCAGCAAATGTGCAGAGCTGAGGCCTGATGAAAAACCCACATGTGAAATTCAATATTTCACATCTGAATCCAAATTTCACATTTGTTTTTCCACACGTGTTTATTAAAATTCACATGTGAAAATGACATGTTTTTAACTTAACATGTCAATACAAACTTTGTATGTGAAAGTGACAGTGACATGAAGCAAAACACCCTGAGCCTAAGTTTCACATATGGAATCCACATATTTATCTTAAAATTCACATGGTACAAAAACCTGATTTTAGCTTTAAATATGAATCCCAATTTTACATGGGAAAAAGATAATGTAACGTGTGAGGTGAAAAGTCCCATGTTATGTTGTGATTTCACATGTAGATCTAAGTTTAATGTTAAGTATTGCTTTCACATGGCGATGTACATGAGTTTCACATCTAATCCCAAAGGTTTCACATGAGAATTTATACCAACATCATGGAAATGTTCCAAAACTACATGTTTCACATGTGCAATCACATGTGTTACACACATTTTACATGTGATTTTAAGATGTTTTCTCATGTTAAATTTCACTTGCACATGTGCCCACATGTGAAATTCATGTGGTTTTTCTGTAAGGGCAGTTCACTGGGTCACGTACCCCCCCCATGGGCATTTTATATTTGTATTAGGGGCAATGTCTTCTGGTTTCCAGTTCTTAAAGGGATAGTTCAGGTTGTTTGGTTTGAGGTTGTGGCAGATCTGTGTTGCTGTGCACGGGGCCATGAGGAAAAAGGTGTTTTAGAGACTTTTAAAAACGCCCACCGAAACCATCCAATATCCTTTTAAATGTAGCTTCATGTAGAATATTTTCAGCGGTTTCATCCTGTCATCTTGTTGGAGTTATTTATATCCCCTCAAAGAGCAGATGCAGATATTAGCTCTGCTGTCTGACAGGCAGGAGGATCTGGATTCAGTCCCAGAGAGGAGACCCTGACTAGTGCTCCAACAGTCTGAGACTGTGTGAAGGTGGGACCTGTTTTTGTCACAGGGAGCGGGGGCTGTCAGAGGGGCATGGTCAGCTAGAGCGAACCCGTTATAAGGTGATCTGTTGGCATCAAAGGGGCATGGTTAGTTGATGTCACAAGGGGCGTCTATTGTTTTGAGGTGGGGGGGTGAATTCTAGTCCCCCTTTCCCCAAGTCTGAATTGGTTGTGGAATAGTGTCCGTGAACCCTGCTGTGGCTTTCAAGATGAGCTTCTCTCCGGAGGTCGGCATTAAGACTGATCTGTGTGTGTGTGTGTGTGTGTGTGAAGGAGGATGAAGGGATGGAAGACAAACAAGGCAGTTGTTGTGGAAATGAAAACATGTAGCAGGAGTTATAGTTATTGAGATCTGAACCTTAGATAATTGGTAGTCCATGATCAGAGAGGAGAGGAGGTTGTGTGGCCATGTTCTTCATGTTTACAGTCAATCTGTAATATTGTTGTGCTGATTGTCCACACTGTGAATCTGTGCACTGTCAATCAACACAGATCTACTTCCTGTCTGTCTCTCCTGGAGGAGGGACTCTTCTTCTGCTGCTCTTCCTGAGGTTTCCTCAGTTTTTCCCTTGATAAAGAGTTTTTTTTCCTCTCTAAAGGACCAGAGGCGCATCGCTAGGAGAGGCTAACCAGGCAAATGGTTGGGGCCCCAAAGGGGAAAAGGGGGCCCCTGTGGGCCCTCATATTGTCACATTTTGCAATGACAACTATAAACCCACTAAAGACTCTATAGAGTGCACTGCTGCTGCCCCTAAAACCCCTTTAAGTAGGGCCCCTCACGATGTGTGCTGTAACTAGTACCGATGTACAGTAAATCAGATCCCTGTCTGTCAACGTGTGTCTTACCTGGCTCAAAGGTTCACTGCTGAAAGAATCCATCTTGCAGTCTAACAGCTGACTGTGACACCTTGCCAGCAGGGTGCCTGCACTGTGCAGACGCTGGGGGACTGTCCTCGCCTGGAGAAAGGCGTCTGGACTTTCCTCTGTGGGTGTATGTGAGGACAGGATGTAGCCCGGGTCCTCCCCTGGACTAACCTCAGTCTCAGTGGGACCAGAGGAGCTGTAGCCATTGTAGCAGCTCTGGAGCTCAGAGTCAGTACTGTCCCTGGTGTCCCGGTTAAAGGACGACCGTGATATCACACCAAACTTGCGTGTGCGTTTGCAGTTTTCTGATCGGTCAGAGGGGTCAGAAGAGGCTCCGCCCTGCTGCTGCTCCTCACAGCCCTCACTGCTGACAGGGACGCCGCCGTTTACATCACAGGGAGGGAGGGGAGCCTTTCGCTTGACTCGCCGCAGCATGATCAGGTAGATACAGCCTCCATTCCAGCACTGGTCGGCCAGGTAACTGTGAACAAGCATTGAAAGGATAATGATGTCATTACATACATGTTCAAATATTATAAGGAGAAATACAGTCCATGTCCACAGGTCAACATTTCCTCACATTTCCACCTGGATGAGAGGAGCAAATCACACAGGATGGAGAGCAGTCCCTGAGTGCATCATCTATAACCTTGATGAGAGAGGCTGTATGTTCTTTAGAAACAAAGGGCTTCTATCCCACACCTGGCACAAAGTCACACAAAGAGCAACACAAGTGTCTTTGCTAGTTTCAGACGAACACAGTTGTCAATTTCCCACGTTGTTTAAACAGCAGATGTATCTGTGCAACAGGGTCCAGTCTGCTTCTGAATATAGTTTACACCCTGTTAAATCTCTTTTTCAACATGACAGTTACAGTCTCTCCGCTGTGTTGAAGATGGTGATGAACTAACTGACAGCTGACTGGTTGACTCCAACGAGGAGACTCAGACAGCTCTGATGCCAATTTCTGGCTTTTTTATTGCTTACAAGCACTTCAGGATCTGCTCTCAACAAACTATTCAGTCTAAAAGAAAACCATAATCAAAGACACTTAAAATACTGATGAGTGAACTGTAAATTAATAAATCATGTGGGCAACAGACTAACTCTAATCGGGTTCAAAAATGTCTAGTATAAGTTATATAAAGACACTTCTGATAAAGATGAATTAATAAAAAATAAAAATAAACATACATTAATATTTACAGATCTTCATTTAACAGTCACACATTCATCGGGGGGACACAAGCCCGGTCTGACTTGTTCCCCCAGTAATGGACGTTTTCTCTCTCTTTTCATTCCGTTCACAAGTCATTTCCTGAAGTTAACTTTCTTTTCATCTACGGTCTGTTACTGTGTGTAGTTATTTAAATGTAAATATAGATCATAAGTTATTAAACCATTCGTTTAACAGCATTAAAAAGTCCTCTTTGTTTTGGAGGGGTTGTTGTTGAGACCAAACCTACCAGTTGCCAAGACTCAGTGTCAAACACACAACTCATTCAGAAGTGTGTAAGGGTTGGGGATGAAGTCTAACCTCTGTTATGGTAACCACTGGATTCATAACTATCAATTTAAGTAACCCACAACAAACCCTCAGTGATTAAGAGCTGCATTCATTTATCTGTGACATTTCCCAAAAACCCTGATTCTTAATCCACCTCCGGCAGCTGCTGCCTGGTCCAACGCTCTTCTCGGTGTTGGTGGTTACAACATGAGACAGGTGAGCAGGTCATATTTACAGTGACCACATGAGGACAGAGGATGTTTTGTAGACAAAGAGTTTCACCGTATATATACGATGTACGACAACAAACAGAAAGGCTTTGGTCTGAAGGCCTGTTTTTTAAGTGCCGTCTCTGACCCGATCCAAACAGACCTGTGGGAAACTATCAGACCCAAACAGGAGAAATTCAATAAGCTTTACCTCATCTCTTCTGTTGTGTTGTCTGAATATGCAGCACTGTTTGCTGTTGCATTTGTTTTGGGGGTTCGTGTGTTTTTGTTGTTGCAGCGTTTCTGTATTAGCAGCGTGTTTGCTGTCAATGTCTTTGTTTTGGCTTCCTGCAGCTCGTTTTTTCATTTTCCATTTTCATTTCATTTGCCCTGTTGTTGTAGGCTATTTGTTTTTCATTATGTGTTTTTGAATCTGCATCCTTTATGAATTTGCAGCTTGTTTCTCCTTTTGGACGTGTTCAGAGGTTGGATGCAGTTCCTCAGTCGGCCATTTTTTTTTTTTTTTTTTTTAATTTTGAATATTTTAAAATTAACCCAGAATTAATTTACCACAGCCTGGCTTAAAGGGATAGTTCAGGTTATTTGACACGGGGTTGTGTGAGGTACTCATGAATAGTCAACCACAGTAGAGCCTGGGCAGCGCGCTCCCTGTTAGGAGCAGAGTGGCAGAGCTACTGTATGTGTTGCTGTTCACAGGGTCACGACAAAAAATGTGTTTTAGAGCCGTTTAAAAACGCCCAATATCTGTTTACATGTAGCTTCATGTAGAATTTTTTTCTTTTTGCGGTTTATCTTCCCGTGAAAACAGCACTTTCCTTTGGCACTACATTTTTCAATCGCTGAACTACCGTATTCTACGCACGAGCGCACCGTAGTACCCCGCAGGTCAGCTGAGTGAGTCAGAAAGCGGCGTAATACAGTACACAACGTGTACGTGCGCTCGTGCGAAGGAATATGGTAAGGAAAGATAAGCCGCTGAGAGTAAAGCGTACATTTAACACGTATTTAACAAATAGCTCTGCTACTCCGCCGGGTGCTCCCGGTCAGCTCTCCTACCTGGGAGCGGCCTGAACAGAATCTACTGTGGGTAATGTCACGAATATTCATGAGTTTCTCACACAACCCCCACGTCAAATAGCCCGAACTATCCCTTTAAGATAGCCAAGAACTAAACTGCTATGTGCAATGGATGAATTTAGAGTCTATCTAATAGAATCTAAAGTCTGACCATTTGTTCTATCGAAGCCACAGTCAAAGTCTATCTTTGTGAAACCGGTCCCAGGTTTTATTTGGACATTGTTCTATTATGGAGGAGATGTTGTCAATGAATGAGCAGGACTGTTTTACTGGATTTTCAAGATTGTTGCTGCCATATACTAATAACTAATAACTATTTGTCAGATGTTTAATTTACTGGATTTTTCAAACCTGTCGCATTATTTCTTTCCTTTCCTTAATTTCACTAATCAGAATAAAGTAAAAGTAAATTCAAACGAGACTTTAAGCTACAGAAGCTTGTGTCATGTACAGTTGCAGTAAATAACATAGTTCATCACTGTGGTCTTACCTGGCTCCACTGACGTCCACTCCCACCATCAGCTGCCCGTTCAGTGACAGCAGTTCGTCCCTCAGTTTGATCCCCCCGCAGCGAGCTGCTGGGCTCCTCTTCCTCACCTCCGTCACCCAGATGCAGCCCACGTCCATGATGGGGCCCTGGTCCCGCCTCCTCCTCGGGCCCCCCTTCTTTTTCCCGTCAGGGTCCCCAAAGATAGGGATGTTCCCGAAGCTGAGGCCGAACTCCGACGTGTCCCCCTCGTCTTTACTAAGGAAAACAGCGTGAACCTCCACGTCCACCCCCTCCCTGCAGGAGGACGGGCTGGCTGACGGAGCTGCGTCGCCCTCCATGAAGTTGAACTTAATGTACTCCACCAACTTCTGGATGGCAGCGAGACACAGGGACATGTCCTCCACGGTACCGCTGTTAACACTGCTACTGCTGCACACACTGTCCCGCTCCCCATTCTGACCGGAGTCTGGATCCACATGCTGCAGGAGGAGGAAGAGGAGGAGAGAGCTGTGAGTGATGCTGGATGATTCGGACTGTTAAAGCAGTCTCATTGTATGGTTTTATGTCGCCATAATAATCACAGGTTTATATCTTTAGACTCATGCGGGGCTTGACATCTAACATGTTTTGGCTTCATTGTGCAGTTGATAGAACAGATGTTATGTTTTCATTTTAACCAATGCAGCTGTGCACACACAGTTACATGTGTTTTTATCATGTGTAACTTTTACAATGTCACAGAGTTGGTCACTTCCTGTTGTCAGCTTCAGAATAATTAGGCAAAACAATCAGTCACCAGCAAAACACATTAAATACAGGTGAGATCTTTTTGTCAACAGATTCTGTGAGAAGACCAGAACAAGAAGTGTATTAGTTCTGACTTCCCTGTTCGGTTTGAGGCTCTCAGCCTGAGGTCCACTGGTTCCAGCTGAAGATCTACATCTTTAAAATTAAACATACACTTGCAGAAATTTCTAAATCTTGGAGCTGGTTGTATTAATAACAGCAAATATTTTAGATTCAGTTTCATTTTGATGTAATTGTTGTAATTAGTGGATTTGCTCACCAAGGCAAAGTAAATACAGATCTGGTGAACTTTGATATAAGAATCTGGACCAAAGCAAAACATCCAGGAACTGGAAACCAACCAACCAGAGGCGAGATGCATAAAACTCTGTAGATTCATGGCTAAAACTATGTGTGCGCACAAAACCAGAAATATGGATATGCATGGATTTGTTTTCGTCAAAATTAAAAAGCTGTGTGTACACATGGTTCCATTTTATAAATCTCCCTCATTGAGGAATTGGGCGCATGTGCACAAGCCTCATTTCCACTCCCACAATTAGCATCAGTTTACTTTAGTACAATCACTCCAAATGTGAAGCTCTGTTTTACTCTGAACTTTGTTTATTGGAACTTTATTGGGATGTCTTAATTAGGCTCCAGACAGGCGTCTAAAACTGTGATTAGTAAATATTAAAACAGAATGAAACAGTTCACACGATGCCTCACAAGAAATAATAAGGAGATTAAACGATGCTTAAGGAAACATTGAGTACAAACACAATTATTCTGTTTTGAATTGTAAAATTGCTGGTTTTGTGTAAACTAATGGTGATAATGAATGAAGCTCCATTAAGTTGTTTATTTTATTCTATGTTAAATTACATATCTCTACTTATTTTTTGTTTTCACTTCACTGTAACTTGGATCACTTGGAACGAGTGAGGTGACACATTCTGTGTTTATAAAGACCAATTTATGTGCGGGAAATGGTGTACGCATGATTTTTGTGTGTACACATCATTTATGCATCATGATCAGACAGGACTGGAAGGTACAAACACTAGACACTGCAGCTTCTAGCATATTTCATCAAGACTTACAAATGAACTTCAACACACTGAGCTCCTGCCCAGAGGACATGTGTCCTTTTCTGAAGTAAAGTGATTTCTAATGTAGAAGCCACACACCACACACCACACCATCATGCATGACACACTGTGATTGGCTCCGACCTGCTGCACTACAGACACCATGCTTTCATACAACATGTCTTTGCTCCATAAATAGATATCAAGGACAATGAGACTTCCTGTTTACACTCAGCACAGTTTGTTTAGTGACCCGGGGCCCTCAGCACACTCAGACATGGCTTTTCATCTGGTCTTATTTCACCCTTTACCTAACAGAGGCTGCTGGTGTCAGTGACAGAGGAGTGAAACGATTAATACTACACTGTAAAACTCTGTTCAAAGTAAAAGCCCTGCATTCAATAAATGTACTTATATAAATATTATTATCAACAAGTTATTCTCACATTTACTTTTTTTTTTAAAAACTTTTTTTCAACAACATAACAACTTTGTCAGTATGAAATACCAAAATACAAAAGTCTGCATGTTGTCCATTTTAAACAGCCCGCGTGAATTGTGAATTATTTGTTTGCTGGAACAGCAGCAGACCAGAGAAGTAGAGGAGGCTGATGAGGAAACAGGTGTGTCTTCAGGGTTTTAGTTGAGGTTTTAAAAGGATACAAATTCATCCATATTACGGATTAATTGTAAATTACTAATTTATATTTAATACAACTTAGTCCACCTATTTTGATGTGAACTTGTTAGTTATTGTAACACATGATAATTTCCTAATGTTTTTGTCTTTGAGCTGATACTGCATAGTTTTATTTAAATATAAATACATTTCTAAATGTAAATTCAGATCTTACATGTTAATAAACCATTCGGTTGGAAGCATTAAAAAGTCTTAAAAAGTTTTGGAGGGGTGGCAGGGTTGTTGCGTCCCTACCAATGTTGAGACCAAACTTACGCCCTTGCATCTGCTATACATAAAATGTCGTGTTTGTAGATAGCGGAAGAAATGGGTGTGTGGAATATTACATTTTTGAGTCAACTGAGTAAATGAGGCGAATATCTTATCTATATACAGGTCCTTAAAACTATGTATACCATTATTCTACCAGATCATGAAAGCAGAATCAACCATAGAGGGTTGGAACATATGATTAGAATGAATCAGTGCCACTGACATTGATTGTGAAGGGTTACATTTGTAAGTATACAATTCTAATGGAAGAGCTGAGCCAAGCAGAGCCAGTAATGAGGTTTTACCACAGTGTGTGACAATTCAATATGAAGCTATGCCGGTGTCTCTGTAGATGGAGCACTGAGCCAATAAAGTTTTTTTAATATATTTGCTGCCCAATAATATAACTGGAAATTTGGTAAGGCTGATTGTTTTGTTCTTTGCACAAACTCTTTATGAATCCTTGGGGGTTTACTATTCAAAATAAATGCAGAACTATATTTGTCTAGTATATTAAAAAACTTTTTTGTCTGCAGATTAGGATGCATTGAAAAAAATGCAAGAATCTAGATTAAGTATTTATGAAAATCTGTCTAAGTGCATTCAAGAAGGGCAGTAAAATTTTCCTGAAATAACTTTTTATCTAAATGTGCAACCTTGACACCCAAATAGGTTAGGTGATCTATCTTTACCTTAAATTGAAAAGTTTCAAATGAGATCTCCCTGGCTTTAGAGTTAAAAGTGAGTAGTTCGCTCTTGTGTATATTTAATTATAACCTGAAATACTGCCAGAATCTTGAAAAATAGTAAGAAGGGAGGTTATAGGGTCAGAAATGTAAAGTAAAAGATCATTGGCATATAATGACACTTTATGTTCTTGGTTTGCCAGTTGGATTCCCCTAACCTTGTCATCTGTTTAGAGCTTAACTGCTAATGGTTCGATAGATATCACAAACAGGAGAGGAGAAAGTGGGCATCACTGTCTGGTTCCTCGGTGGAGTGGAAAATAGGAGTGTAATGTATTTGTCCTAGGTGAACTGTAAAGGAGTTTTATCAATGAAATAAATTTTGGATTAAGACCAAATTCATCAAGGGTGTAAAACAGGTAGTCCCACTCCACCCGGTCAAAGGCTTTATCAGCATCAAGCGATAAAGCAATCTCCAGTACTGGAGACGATGGAGTATATATTATATTAAAAACCCTAAGTAAATAGAAGAAGCCATGTCTACCCTTCATAAATCTTGTTTGATCTGAAGAGATCATGGAGGGCAAGCACTGTTCCAACAAAAGGGCGAGAGTTTTAGACAATATTTTAAAATCTACATTTAAAAAGGGATATAGGGCGGTACAAAGAACACTCAAGTGGGTCTTTGTTGGGCTTCAAAAGGTGTGAGATTGTTGTTTGTTCAAGTGGAGGGAAAAACACATTGTGAATTAAAGGACTCAATATACATTTCTCGTAGAAGTAGAGATAAGGTTTTTTCTTCCCTCTTTAAACTAGGGCTGCTCGGATCTTGCCTCAATGAAGTCCTTCGCTGCCTGTGGGGTTTCAAATATCTGTGTCTGCCCATTGAAAGACACCCGGAGCCGGGCCTCCTCCTCCTCCTCCTT